ACCGGCTTCCAGCATCAGAGAGACCCCGGCAGAGCATCACTGTATCACGGCAGACTCTCATCACTCAAACATCGCCTCTGTGCGCTCTTCAGGAGCTGGCCAGCAAAACGTTCAAAGGGCTCGAATTAGGTGTACTCCAAGCAGCAGAAGGTAAGAAAAGAACCTGTTTAGGGATTGTAAATGAAGTCTTAGATTGTAAAAATAATCTTTTACAATTCGTGTGCAAATAGTTAAGACAGATAATTAACTGGTTTTATTCAAATCAAAAATATTATCAACCTAAATGCATTAATGTACACCAACAAAACTATATTTTATGGGTATTATGTAACAATTACAGGTCACCACTTTTTAAAAAGTGTTTTTACAGCAATGCCAAAGAAGAACCATGTTTGGTTCCCCAAAGAAAAGAACCATTGTGCACTGTAAAGAACATTTGCGTAATGAAAAGAATCAATGGATGTTAAATGTTCTTCGTGGAACCATCGATGCCAATAAAGTTAATTTAACTTTATTTTTGATCATAGCTTGACTCATTTGACATATTTTAATATTTTATAGCAAACCATATCAACGTTTCAATACAAAAAATAATACATTTTTAAAGTTAAAATTGTTATATTAAGTAAATCGTTTTTTTTTTTTAGCAATTATTTATATTAATGATAGTCAGTTGTTCTGTACTTACTGTAACTTTAATCACGATTATTACAAAAACAAACTGTCGGCGTCACCTAATTTTGCATCACTTTCTTTTATCCACAGGAAGGGATGGGTTGACTCTGTTTGGTCAAAGGGACAGTCCCAAAAAGCGCCGAAAATCTAGGACGGCCTTCACTAATCACCAGTTATATGAACTAGAGAAAAGGTTTCGCCATCAGAAATACTTGTCACCCGCCGACAGAGACCAAATTGCCCATCAGCTGGGGCTGACAAATGCGCAGGTTATAACCTGGTTCCAGAATCGACGGGCAAAACTAAAGCGAGACCTGGAGGAGATGAACGCGGACGTGGAGTCGGTCAGATCCACAGGTATAGTGCCTCTGGATAAAATCGCTAAACTGGCCGATCTGGAGAGGTGTGCAGTTGGAGCCACGGGGCATACGGGGCCTGAGTGCTCGCCACGGCTGGGTCACGAGTACAAGAGTGCGCACAAATTATGTCTGTCCCCCATGTCGTCTCTCTCAGACCACACAAGTCAAGACTACTCCGAGGACGAGGACGTGGAAATAGACGTCGATGCCTGATCGAACCACTGCATATTGATTTAAACTTTTGTAAATGTATAGCCTATTTTAAGACACGCATGCACATAACCATCTACATGATTGTAATGTTTCCTGAAACTGAATTAGTTTAATTTATAGCCAGACTATGCAAGTCTAACTCTTATTTGTTCAATGTGAACTAGCAGCTTAAGTTTTTATATATAATATATTGTATGTAATGTAATGACTTTAATGAGTGTAATAGAATATTTCACGAATCAGGGCAACAAACAGAGCAATACAACCTCTTAATGAGAAAAAAAAAACTATTTTTACATGTGTATTTATTGCGTATATTTTGTACACAATCGACAGTGACTGCTTTTTGTAAAGTTTTTGTACAGTTTACTTGCAATATAGTGCCTTCCAAAATTAGGCCATTGTACCAATACCCAATGTGTCGTTTAATGTATTGAGTTTGAAAATAAAAACATTTATACCTTTTACAAAGATGATGCTATGCCGAGTCTGTACAACAATAACAATCACCATATTCTGATAAAACATTGTTGTTATTATTATTATTATTAACAACAACAACAAGAATTGTGTTTTGTTTATAATTTTGCCTAAATTGTAAGTGATTTAGCAATACAGAAATAAATGTCTGAGCTTTATGCTACTGCAGTATTTTTTTTAACTATATTTTGACAGTTAGGCTACAATTTTTTTGCTTAAAAAAACGTAAACATTTTCAGATAGTAGATAACTGCCATGTAAACATTATTTGACAGAAGAGCTAACGAACTTGTGCGCGACAGCCAAGAGCTTCATACTTTTTTTTGTAATTCCTAACTGCCTTGATTTCGTTGCTCAAAACGAAAAAAAGAAGGGAAGAAAAACATTCTTGCCCCTTTAACGCTATTGTTTTTGCTCTCTACAGAAGAAAACAGAGAGCCTTTGGCTTACTCCGCTCTCTCTTTCACTTTGCAATAGCGTGACTTGGCTTTTGACCCAACAACGTGTGTTTTTCCATTCTGGGCGAAATTTATGTGAGAAACACAAATCTGGGGCGCTGGGGAGAAAAAGGAGAAGAAAGACACAAAAAACACCAAGTTGTAATTGCTAAACGAAAAAAAGAAGGGAAGAAAAACATTCTTGCCCCTTTAACGCTATTGTTTTTGCTCTCTACAGAAGAAAACAGAGAACCTTTGGCTTACTCCGCTCTCTCTTTCACTTTGCAATAGCGTGACTTGGCTTTTGACCCAACAACGTGTGTTTTTCCATTCTGGGCGAAATTTATGTGAGAAACACAAATCTGGGGCGCTGGGGAGAAAAAGGAGAAGAAAGACACAAAAAACACCAAGTTTTGGTCCAGTTTCTCCAGGGCTATATAATCCTTTTTGTTCACGGGTGAAGCTGTAATTTCCAGCGTAAAGCATGAAAGCTGAGGACAAATGAGCCATCCACCCTGATGTGACAAGAGACAATGGCGCATGGCTGGACTCCTGCGGTTCACCATACTGAAACAAGTGTGTCCATCCACATAAAAAAAGACGCGAACGTTTGGAGGCCATATGGTTTCTGAAATTTTCACACAATTTCAGACAATTTGATGGATTGCGTTAACCCCTCTTTTAAACAGTTTAACGCAGCGCGAACAAAGGCCATACATTGGAGTCTCTCCTCGAGAAAGCATCTGTACCCATGAATGTCCGCTCTTTTCTTCTCGCCTTTTTTAGCTTGGCGTTTTGAACAAGTCAATGAATTACAATGAAACTCTCTCTTTTTTGTGAGGCACTGACTTTCGTCCCCCTTTTGGTGATTTTAAATGATTTGTTAGACTTGTGTGGGGGGACTTTTTAGTTAAAGAATGCGTCCTCATTTTGTTGGAGTTTGATGTTCAGGAGGGGACTCGTTAAGCGTTCAAACCAGGGCTCTCATGTCAGCTCTGCTAAAAAGGGGGTCTTTTGTTTATAATGTTTGGTTCTTTTGCCTCCTTACCTTAAGCCTATTTGACTTTGAGGAGATTAATAACGCCAAACACTGGATAATGTGCTAAAGAGCGTGTGAGCTTTAAAAAACAAGACGCATTGAGTGTGCTGTCAGTAGCAGATGTGTGTCATGTATAAAAGGAACAACAGTACCTAACGTTGTTTTGTAAAGAGGAAGATGAAGTGCAAAGGCAAGATAATATATGACTAGCTGTTTTGTGGCTATATAAGCAAATGTAAATGGTCACAATTTTATAATTTTATTTTAAATGGACAAAAAATATTTATATTGAATTTATAATGTTATTGTTTTAGCATCACCCAGAAATGTGGAATTTTTGTTAAAAATAAAAACAGAGAATTTTTTTTGTTTGTTTGAAAATGACATATTTTCTTCTCTTTTTTTTCTATATTATTATTATTATTATTATTATTTTCCCAGAAAGTATAGTGTATCCTTGAAGTATGTAATTGAAAAAAATTTTATTTTTTACATTTTTACATGTATTTCCCAATATCGAATATATAAAATGCTATCATCAGTGGCAAGGCAAAAGGAAAAAGGCAAAAAATAAAAAAAAGAGAAAGTTTTCATTATTGTCATTTCCATCACAAAATGCTATTAAAGACTAATAATTTTAATTAATAATTTAAAAATGTTATGAAAAGTTCATGACATTACAACAATTTTTCAAAAAGTAGGCTATTCGTTAAAAAAATAAGTAGGACACTATAGCCTATAATTGGAAATTGTTCGTAAACATATGCTGGGAGTGTATTTACTTATTTAAGAGAGTTTATTTTCTTATTTAAGACCAATAGGGCTTCTTTTCAGTCCACTGGGTCAAAAGTGGCTATAAACGCCCATGACTTCGCCAGGTAAGACATGTTCCTGGATCAACATCTTTTGGTGATCCTGGATCAACATTACTGTCCAAAAATATAGACTTAACCCAATCCCTACCCCTAAACCTAACCCTACCCATAATTTATTCTTAAAATCAGTGTGAAATGATAGCTGATTAACAAGGGGGTGGAAGCACCTAACCCTGATCGTAAGCCTCAGATATTTCCTGAAAAGTTATCCCTCATTTCTGAGTGGTTGCTTGGGATGTTGTTCCAAGATCAGCAAGGATGTTGATTCAGGAACATGTTGTACTTGGTGAAATGACGTTCACCAAACGCCCATATATCTGAAAGTTTTTTGCTCTATTCAGTTAAGACATAGGCCTATTCAGAAAACGCAAAGTGTGTTTTTCTCAGAGCCTTAATCTACGTCTTATTCTAAGCTACATTCTTTCATGCTATATTGAATCAGAAATGAAAAATAAAATAAATCCGAATATTGCAGAATATAAAGCTCATTAAAACTTATCAGCCTTCTAGACAAGAATGTTACAGTAAATTCCCTCTGATCTCTCGCCCTCTCAGCACAAGTTCTGTTCTTCTGCTGTCCTCTGGTGGACAACATTCTGGTGGCTTTTGCTTTCTTGTGTGCTTGCTTGATAACCTTATTTTGCAGTTAAAGATTGGGGAACGCCCTTACCTCAAATTCGCAATTTTTTTATTTTTGTAAAAGGAATTTTGAGTCGTTTTAAATTTCTGTTGATGCAGTCTTGTGACATTTATATAATTGTTTATGATTCTTACATAATTCTCGGCTCGTTTAACAGTAATGGCAAATATTAATTTAAGTTCTGTCTCATATGGAGACAAATGAGAAGCAGTATTAAACGAATATACAACATTTTCATATTTGCGCATAAGCAGCGCAGTTACAAAACACTTGAACGTCCACAGCGTGCGACGCCGGCATTACGTCATGACGTTGTTGCTGGCGGTATTTTTGTTTGGCATATACAGTGTTTAGTGCCAAATTTCGGGTGTAGCATAGCATTCACTTAAAAGAAAAGCCATTGATGGTAAGTACCATAGTGACTGTGTAATTTGGGTTTACTGTGTGTTATCGCCACAAAATATACGTAAGATTTTGTACTTTACAAAACTGTCGCATATATAACGTTACTGGTTAGTAATTTGAAATAGCTATAACTGTTAGCTGCACGGCTAACGTGTAAGTCTTCTGTACATTCATCTTTTCAGTACAAGTTTGTATATATCTGGCTGGAGTTTTCACCTTTTTTACTGCTCTTCTGTTTGGTTCTTATTGTTTGTTTGGCTTTATCACATCTGTAGACTCCAGCACCATCAAAGCAGACAGAAATGGAGCGGGAAGCCCAGTCCTCTCAGTCTTCAGAGGCTGCTGCAAAAGCAGTGTTGTTAGAGGAGTGCGAGGAGCAGTTTGGACTGCTTCAGAAGGTAACGTGCCATGGTCTTGTTTTCAGATGAAGCATACAAATTATTTGTTATAAAAAATACACAATTCTTCATAGATCAAAAGGCGCGCAGACCCAGCTAACGGGCCGTTCTCAGAATCCTGGCTAACACTCTGGCAAGCTTCTCAAAGTTATCTGCTCTTAAACCTTAGCACAAAAGCGTTATTTATACATCATTCATGAAGTGTTTTAACATTTTAATTGTAAATGTTATTACTGGTTTCAGAATGTTCATAGAACTTTTAAAAGTAACATTCCCATAATGTTCCCAAAATGATCAAATTAAATGTTCCTTTAACATTCTTATATCACCAAGGAAAAAAAAACCTAATAAAATAATTGACTGTCTATTTACACTACGTGCAAATAGCCCGCCTTGTTGGCAGACAATACTGAGGTGCAGATAATTGCCACTATTTGCATTAAGTAGTATAAATAGTAGTAAATCCTGCTATTTTAACATAGTGTAAATAGAATCTGTAGCTATTTGCACTTAGTGTACATAGCATATCGCTAAGAAAATACTGCTATTTTCACTTACTGTATATAGAATCCATTGCTATTTGCACTTTATGTAAATAGCATCTATCACTATTTACACTTAGTGCAAATAGCTGCTGCCTAAAAATACAGTTTTCATAACTTGATGGGAACATTAGCAAAATGTTTATAGAAAATATTTTTGTTAGCTGATGATAGGGCTGTCGCGATAACCGCAATATCGCAATACCGCGCTATTGACAAGCAAACCGCAGAGGAATGCAAGAACCGCAGCAACCGCGATTTTTGCGTGTTTTATTTTTTCGTAAGGTTATGCCCTTCTCGTTTTACACTTCATGCATGTGGACTGAATATTAAACAAGTTAGTAATGATAACATAATGTGTACCATGCTGATTTGTACAGAGGCTCCGTAGATTTGCACTTAACAAGCCTAAACAGACAGTGAATGAGAGAGAGATCGACTGAGCGCGTACGATTACGTGCGTCTGTCCTCCAGGCCGAGTCATATATATTTGTGAAAATAGGTTTAAATAGGAAAACCTATTTGGTTTCATTGTCTTCTGAATATGACCTCGTTAGTTATATCGTAACACATACACACACAAATTATATATATATAT